GGAACGAGGGATGAAGTGTGGAGGGACACTGCAGGAACGGGCTGCGCGTCTGTTCTCCGTCAAAGGACTGAGTCCAGATCAGATTGACCCTGCGCTCTTGGCCACCAAGGGCAAGAAGAAATAACCTGTGTTTCTTAAACCAGTGTTTTTGACCTGTTTTGCTTTGCTTGTGTTTGGTATGTCTGTAGTTATTTTTAAAGTTATTGTTTATAAAATTCTAACACCTAATTTTGAAAAATCCCCAGTTTGGGATAATGAGTGCTAGATTTTTTTTCTCCTCAAATTAGAATGACATTTCTAATCAGATACAAAGAATTTGGATTGAACTTTAAAGTTGAACTTTAATACACAATATATGGCATTTTATTTGTTTTTGGTTTTTTTAGGCTGTTAGTAAAACATGCCAAGTAACAAGGAGAAACTCAGGTTAACTTTTTTTGTAATCTGTACAGCAAATTCTTTGATAATTCAGTCATTGTAAATAGCTATTTTGATTCATACAGAGACATTCTGGGAATCAGTCATATGTTTATGATGTGGGTGGGAAGTTATTCAAGGATTCATCTATTTTCTAACCGCTAACCGACAGATTGTTCACATTGCACAGTATTTGATTGTATATGTGATCTGGTCCATTTTCTTCTTGACTTTATGGTTAAGTAAAATAGTGTTGCACAATTTTGTGTCCTGTTTGTTGTTGTTCTTACTCTGTATCATGTATCTTTATTGTATAGAATGTGAAAATAACATTTTATTTCCAATAATCATTATATAGAAAAATACTTAGGCATGCACAACATATCTGGTTTCTGATGCAGAATAGGGTTTGATAAAAATTAATTTATAAATATTTTTTTAGTGTAAATGTAGATGCATTTTCCATCAAATGCACTGATATCTGGTTATGATGAAAAGCATGAAACTAAAAAAATAATAATATGTAGGCCTAAACCTCCACAATAAATCAACACAATGGCATCCTGAAGAAAAGTTACAAATTATGCAAACAAAAATGACTTGGGGTGCTATTTAATCAAGATTTAGGGGAACTTTCGTAAGTCCTCCGAAACATCAGATGGCGATATCGAGCCCCGTATCGCTTCAACATTCCGCAGAAGAAAACGCTGTTTTCATGCAGTTTGTGGAGTAGTTCTGAGCTTGTCGTAGTGTTACCGATTCATATGTACATATTATGCCTATTATTAGTATATATCTGAAGCTGTGGAAATAGTTATGGCGTTTCCGCAGCCGCGTCCTCAAGCGCCTCAGTTGCCGCAGCATCTTCTGCGGACTATAGAGTGTCAGCAAGGCGCCGTGAGAGCCGTGCGCTTCAACGGTAAGGCCATATTATTAACATTATTATCCACATTATAATATTATCCATATCCATTATCGCACATAGTATTATTAAATGAAAAATGTTACTAGCAGTTGTCATTTAAAATTTTCAACCTAAAAGAGTATATATAGACTTATAACATGTAAGTCCCCCCCCCCTCTCTGGTAATCACTAACGATTCTAATTGGTTCTTCCTGACTAGCGCTGAGAAAAGTAACAGTTACCACGTGATGCTGCTGTTTCATACCTGCATTATGACACTAGAAAGACCTTGAACTGAATATACAATGAAATTGTTCTTGTTTCTATATTTTACACGTTCCTCCAGCTGATGGGAATTATGTGCTGACCTGCGGCAGTGATAAATCTCTGAAGCTGTGGAGTGCGAGTCGCGGGACTCTGCTGAAGACTTACACCGGCCACGGATATGAAGTGCTGGACGTGGACAGGTATGTTTCTGCGTTACATTATACTGAAATACCATCGCTGTTGTATTTGGTTTGCTTAATTTCACTTACTTTTCGCAGTTCTTATGACAACAGTCAGCTGTGCACCTGCAGCTCGGATAAAACCGTCATTCTGTGGGATGTGGCGTCTGGTCAGGTGACCCGCAAACTTCGCGGGCACGCCGGGGTGAGACCATTACCATTGCAGTTTCCCGCCAAGAAAGCCCAGCTCACACTGTGCGATTTTGGCCACGATTTGGTTGTCTGAGACAACATTTGGAAATCCTAAAAGATTCCTATAATCTTAGGCTAAAATCTGTTGTGTTTGATTGCTGGTTTTACATGTTCACCGACAGCCGATTAATGGCCGTTGCAATCATTTTTTTCTTCTGATTAAATTCTGGCAGTGTCAGAAGATTTCAGACACTTTCCTGCAGTGTGACTTCTACGACGACCATCAAACCAAGAACCAATAGGAGCGCTGAACCTGATAACGCAATAACGCGGCAACTTCAAACCACCTCAGTGAAAATGTCAAAATGAGTCAGTTGGAAAAAGTTTTTTTTCAAAAGAGTTTATTTAAGGGGCAGGATGTTTAAACTCGAATAACAAAATTACCTCAAGTTCGCTCTGTAGAACTGGAAGTCCATAAAGGGCCCTTTTGTCCAGCCATGACTTGCTCCACACACGTCGTCTTCGTTTTTTTCTTTCGGTTTTTATTATCAAGGCATGTAATTAACAAAACTAACGCTACATATTGCTTTTGTTTGCTAGCTACCATTATAGCGAGAGAACACGGGTCACGGATTGATGACGTAAAACTCCGGACAAGTCTTCTTGTGTACGTCCGTTTTTGTCGCGTCTTGACTTTTGTACAGTCTGACATTATGACAACTCAGATCCTACAGTGTGACATGGGGATCATTTTCATATAGTGTGACAAGCAGCAATCGCAAAGGACTATTAAAAATCGCACAGTGTGAGCCTGGCTTAAGACAAATATCTATTGCAGTATATTATTGTAAATAAATATAATACATTTTAAATGGGCGATTTCACTAAAAATGTCTTGTTTTCAATCTTATGCTCGTTCCCTAGAAAGTAAACTGTGTGCAGTTTAATGAGGAGGCTACTGTGATGCTGTCAGGTAAGTCAGACTTGGCTTTAATCATATGGGAATAATGACGGTCGAATCTCAATCTCACTATTTCTTTATGTTTCAGGCTCCATTGATGGGACCGTTCGGTGTTGGGACACTAGATCCAGGCGGTATGAGCCGATCCAGATCCTGGACGAGGCTCAGGATGGCATAAGCAGCCTGAAAGTGTCAGAGCATGAGCTTTTGATTGGGTCAGAACCAAACTAAGGATATGATGTTGGAATATAAGTAATCTGAGGGTTGAATTTGTAGAAGTGACTGTATTGTGTTGTATATCAGGTCTGTGGATGGAAGAGTGAGGCGATATGATCTACGCATGGGGCAGCTTCATGTCGATTTCATTGGAAGTGAGTTATATCACACATGAGGGAATGAGAACACGGTTTTTGCACTGCGTGATGTCTTAACACGCATCTGTTGTGTGAATTTTTTGCTGCACAGGTCCCATCACTTGTGTGTGTTTCAGTCGGGACAGTCAGTGCACGCTTAGCTCTAGTTTGGACTCTACGGTGCGCCTGCTGGACAAAAGCTCAGGGGAGATGCTGGGGGAGTATGTACAACACAGATCAATCTACTACATAAATACAATAAAACTAGTTTTAAAATTAGCAATACTAGTTGCCACAGGTCCAACATATGGAGAAATTTGAGTGCCATTTAAAAATAATGCATGTAGATACATCACTTTGACAAATGACAAATAAATATGTACATTTAAAACATTTAAAAGTAACAGTAGACTTTTATAATTATTTAATTTGTTAAAAACATGGTTAAATGCAGTAATAATAAAATAATTTTTCAAAATTACAAAAAATATGCTTTAAAAAATCGAAACATGACAGTAAAATAAATCATTTTTAAAAATAACAAATAAATACGCAAATTTAAAACTGTTTATTTAATTTATCTTTAAAACATAGTTAAACATGCCAGTAAAATTAATTAATAAATAATTTTTCAAATTAACAAATAATTATGTATATTTAAAACTATTTGTTGTATTAATGCTTAAAAGCATAGTTAAAACAGCAAAATTAATAAATCACTTTAACAAATAAATGTACTTATTTAAAACTGTTATATACTTATTTTGAAAAAAATGTATTTAAACATGACAGTAAAATAAATAAATAAATCACTTTTTAAATTAACATACGTATTTAAAGCTGTTTATTTTGAAATGTTTAGTTAAATGTAACAGTAAAATAAATTTACATTTTAAACTGAAAAATAAATACTTTTCTAAAACAATGTAATTCATGTTAAAATGTTTGTTATTTGGAACAATAAAATAATACACTACATTAATGTATTATAATGTGTGTGTCTATGGTGTCCCTTCACAGGTACTCCGGTCATGTCAATAAAGGCTATAAGCTTGACTGCTGTCTGTCTGATAAAGACACACATGTTCTGAGCTGTTCAGAAGATGGCCATGTTTACTTCTGGGATCTAGTGGAGGTGGGCAGAATAAGTCACATGACCAACAGAGAAAATACAGTGACAAAAAGTCAAGTTAAATATGAGCTATAAAGCTGTCATTCTGTGATCTCTATTTGTAGGGCTCCCTGACTTTAAAGCTGCCTGTTGGGAAAGCTGTCGTCCAATCACTGTCCTTTCATCCAACGGAGCCCCGCCTTTTGACTGCTATGGAGGGGCATGTTCAGGTGTGGGGAGCGGAGCCAGAGGATGCAGCTGTGGAAGACAGCTAAGCTGAGTAGTGCGTGTTGAACACCAAACACGTGAGCAGGACTCATTGAAGATGAAGTGCGAATCACTATTTTGTATCAGTTTGATTGTTATACATATTTTGTATGTTAATAAAATATAAAAAATATACTTTTATTTTTTTAAATTGCAAATAGTTATATATTTTTTATATCTTAATATCTTAATAGCTATTGCTCACAGGTTTATATACAGTTCATTATTGTAATCCGAGTGTAGTTAGTTAACCAAACAAACAACTTCTGTTTGTATATTTAATCAGAACTGTACATATTTACAAGAAAAATAAAGATTAACAATAATTTATTGGGTAGTAAAAATGGTTTTCAAATAAATAAATAATTTATTAACACATAAATATCTTCCATTTTTGGTTCAGATGGACAATTCGTCGGATCAATCTTGACTCAGAATCGGCCACTCAAACACGTCATTGTGTTGTCATTAACCAAAACTGAACGTTTTGACATTCTCAAACACAATATTAGCTCATGTCATCAGAGAACGCGACATACACATCTTGATACATTTTAATACATACATATTATTACTTCCTGAATTAACGTACCTTAAACAGCCCTTATTTTACTTCAAGGCACTTTGTACAGTCTCTAAACCAACAGACAGTCTTAGCCAGATTTCGGCTGGCCACCATCGTCTCTAGCCCATACAGACGCACGCAGCAGCAGAGAGTTTCTCCACTTTGTGCCAGCGATGGTGGTTGTCGAGAAAGGCTATGTCTTCGTGGTGTGTGGGGCGACAACATGGCTGATGGTGCCAATGGCCGGTGTATTGAAGGATGCCGCTTTGCAGGAGGTTGGCGAGCGTGAGGTCGTGGTTGGAGGCGAGGCGAGGACAGGTCCCACTGCAGTACTTAAATAGCACTGTCTCGTCCGAGTCATAGCCCAACCTGAGGTCTCGTACCTGCAGCAGGATGGAGTGCAGAGCACATGGGGACTCAGCGCTGCGGGGCAACCGAATCGCCCTTTCCAACTGCCTCCCTGAACCCTCCTTTGCCTCACCATCACCTCCTCTACGTTCTTCATCACGGAGGTCCGTGTCTGAAAAAGAATGAGCAAAAAATAAATACAATTTTGCATTCCGTTTGTGCAAAACAATGTTGTAAGAGGTTGCCAGAACGTTGATAAATGTTGTTAATATGTTTGGATGTTTTTTTATTGCATCGATATGTGGTTGATAAGGTGTTGCTTACTGGCTCAAATCATGAGTCATAAGAGTGTTTTTAGTGAAATATTTAGTAAATATTTTCCGCCAGTTTGTCTGCCATACGAAAATCATCTGATAACTTAGAAAAGTAGAAGCCCAACTCTTTCCAGCAAAGTCTCATGATTTGAGGTAAAATTTATGTTAGTAGGACTCAAGAAGATATTTTGGTGCATATTTAACTGTTTTTGTCCATACAATGGAAGTCAGTGGGGTCCAAACAATATTGGACCCCACTGACTTCCATTGTATGGACAAAAAAACCCACTGATACATTTTCTAATATCTTTTGTGTTCTACAGAAGAAAAAAAATCCTATAATAAGTTTTCAGAGATTTAGTTGCCCTCTCCCCAAAGGTCATGACCCCTAGTCTTACCCAGTAGCGTTCTAAGCCAGTGCCCTTCTCCAGCCTGAATGCAAAACAGCAGAACAGTGACCTTTAGTAGCGAATGCATCGTTGTTCTTTTCTTTGCCTGGTTTTCCTTCTTCGGGATGAAAGCGCAGGTGATGCTGAGATGCGCCAGAGTCACTGTCTCTTTTATAGCCATCTACGCAGGTCAGAGCTGTTGGGGTGGAGGGGATGGTGGGGTGCGTCCAGGATGGGAGGGAGGCGGAATAACCCTTCCGCTCCCAGTCTCTCACCTGGTCTCAAGGCTATGATTGGAGGCAACTTTAAGTCCACTGGTATTTCAGGCTGAGAGTATGGAAAATGGGGGTAAATTGCTTAAAGCTGTGGGATGTCTGACAAGGGTAGTCATCTTGGAGGTTGAGCCAATTAAGCACATGGAATTGGCATTTTTTACACACATTTTATGCAATATAATGAACACCGAAAAGCAAGGGTTAACTGCATGAAGGATGGAAGAAAGGTCCATAATTAAAAAGAACTAAATAGATGACAGAAGTTATTTGAATGGAAATTCCAAGAATAATGGCTGTCTTCAGATACATAAATTTGGGGATTTTGTTCAAATGTGATTTTTTTCTTCGCTATCTACATTCCTTGTGTAACTATGAAGACATGAATCCTGCAGCGCTGGAGGAATAACTGAATGCGCATGGCTTGCAGTGATATCTCGGCTTAGCCGTCCTGTGCTATTTGAGTGAAGGGTTTTGTACAGCAGACCCCAAATGTATTTGGACACTTAAGTAACACTTAAACTTTCATTGCATTAGGTAACAAAATATCAAACCAATCTGTGTTTGCAAACAAACTTTAGTTACTTTGAAACAACTGGACCCATGGTGATTTTTATTGGATGTATGAAAATGGATGTATTCTTTTTGTGTCCTGGAATCAATCAGTCTTCTTTTTGTGAAATATATTACTTTAAAAGTCTGTATTATCTTTCTTCAAAATAAATTCCATTGGGTTGGATATTTTGGTTTTGATATTTCTTACACAATGGCATTCAAACATTTTTGTGTCTCAAGTGTCCAAATATTTTTTGGGGCCACTGTATGCAAGATGATCTTACACTTACAATTTTAAAATATAAAGGGCACATTTATTTAAAAATGTTAATGTTCTTTCAAACACAGAATTTTTCTCAGTGTTGATAAACTGCATTATGGCATCTAAATTAATATAGACCCTCAAAAAGGTAACAGGGTTGGCATTTTACAGTTTTCAGTTAGATATTTCCTGCTCTGTTCTTACCGTGATGATACTCCCAGGTTATTTGTAGAAAAAGATTTGAATCCTGACATAAATAGAAATGTATCATTAGAAAATGATGGTAACAGGGTTGACACTGTAAGCTTGTCCCATATTGACAAAACAGGAGCCATTTACTTGCCTTTACAGAGTTCACTTCCTAAAAGCATGATGTAATTTTGATATAATTATTGTAATAAAAGAGTTATGATTCGAACAGTTTTACAGTTAGACATTACTTGTTTTGTGCTGAACATTATAAATACTCCAGAGTTCTTAATATAATTTAATACTGACATAAAATAACATTTACATTTTTAGTAATCATTTACTATTTCAAATCATGGTAACAGGGTTGACATTCTACACTTTCTAATAGTAAAACAGGAGACATTTATTTGACTTTGCAGAGTTTACTTCCTGAAAGTATGTTGATGTAATTTTGAAATAATTATTGTAATAAAAGGGAGTTATGATGGTAACAGGGTTGACAGTTTTATAGTTCAATTAGTCATTACCTGCTTTGTGCTAACCGCAGTGACATTCTATGGTTCTTAGTAATGTAATACTGACAAAACTAAAATTTCTTATTTTTTGTAATCATTTCCTATTTAAAAATATGGTAACAGGGTTGACGTTCTAAGCTTGTCCCCTATTAAAAACAGTTGACATTTACATGACATTGATTTGAGTTCACTTCCTGAAAACATTGTCATTTTGACAGAATTATTGTAATAAAATGGAGTTAGAATGGTAACAGGGTTGACATTACTTTAAGAATTGTATCTATTTTCAAACTGAACTCCACCATTTGTATATTTTAGTTCCTTAATGTAATTGTTTTACTGTTCTTCTGTGTCCAATGCTCAAAACACTAATGCAAATTTAACTACCCAGTGGACATTATATATTGAGAGTTTATAAGTATAAAAAGATAAATTTATGAGGCTTTACCAGAAAACCAGGCCTTCCCTTTAATTGCAGGTATAATGCAATGCAAATATTTAATTTATAATCTAAGGTGGTTTTATAAAATGTTCCCAAATATTTTAGGACAATGCCCATTCTTATTCAATGCAATTATTTTCAAGTAGAATACCTGAGACCTGGGATTGTGTGCAGTTAACATGTTTTCCAGTCAGACACCCATCACAGTATTAAAATATGATCAGTGGAAAAGGATTTCAGCCAATCGTCAGGTGGTTAAAACCTGACACAGGACCATAAAACAGTCTACTTTAAGGGAAACTTACATAGCAATCTCTTCTCAGCTAGAGTCAGTCTTTATTTATAACTCTTTTTAACTCATCCATCATGATGAAGATTACAGTTAAATTAGTTTCCACTGGTGGTGCTGCCATGCTGTTGGCTTAAAGCTCCTTACTAGCTTGTTAAATCTAGACATCTTCATAAGGCAGATAGACAGAGTAAAGTTTTCCGGAGTAAAGTTAGGGTGTCTGTCCCCAGGTACGCATGGGAGAAAGAGTGAATTAAATCCGTAAGAGGGAATGGATTTGGAATAAAATAGTTATTTGTCTCGCCAGTGAAATGAAAGTATGATACATTTTTGATACCGTTTATTATTCACTCCGTACTCCTGTTTGTCCTCCCATAGATATGTATGATTCAGTCCTTGCATGAAGCTGGAAAAGATGATGAAGTGAAAGTAAGAAGGATCTGCATGGCAATTTTTAATAACTGGAGTACAAAACTGAGCCCAAATTAAAGAAAGAAATTGATAAAAAAAAAAAACAGGGTTGAACTTTACAAATGCAGTCAACACTACATTTTATATAAAAATTGGATTTATTTTTTTCTTCTTTTCCTGCTTGTCCTGTCTAAATTATATCACTGCTGGGATGTCACAGTTTTAAAGATTATTTTTGTAATGGGAGAAAAAAAAAATGCAGTAATAGAGTGGAATGCGAAAGATGAATTTTTTTTTGATAATTAAAATGATTTAATAATTAAACCGTTCAGCGTAATTCAACAATACATCAAATTGATAACATTATATTTTAGTTTCAAAACAATTCCATGGCAATTCGTAACTATTATACATTTTGGCAAATTAGTGGCTAATTTGTATGAATTCATGCAATCTCCTTAATATGCTTTTGTACAATCTGTGTATGCCTCCATTGACTTATGTTTAGAGGGTGGACCTTCATGCTTAGACTTTTTCTAGTGTAAGCAGGGGGTGGGGCGGAGGGGGATGGGGGTGTGGGAAAAGAATACACTCATTTGGTGTATTTAAAAGTAGCTACTTTTCATGTTAGGCTAATTTTTCCAACCATATAATAGGTTTCACAAAAAACATGGTATTTGGGCACCAACGTGTACCATATTTGTGGAAGTACAGTGGGGGATACGGCAACCCTTCTGGTATGTCCTGATAGAGCCTCTTAGGAATCCGAGGCCGTCTGAGTCAGGAAGGAATCTCATATCAAAGTCACAGAGTGGAAAAACAGTCTTCCTCACACATTGTAAAACACATGGTGACATGGAAGGGAGGTGTGGACTCACGGCCCATCAGACGGAAAGAAGGGAAAAGAGCTTTGTCTGTCTGGTACAAATCACAAGAGCTCAGCATGAACTCATGGATTTTAGACTATGAAAAAAAGTTCATAGTCTCGCCATTCCTCATACTTTGTTTTCTATTAAGAGAATTCTGAGGGCAAGATGGATGCAAAACAACACATATTAATGAACAGGGATATTATTATATTTAACTAAAACCATTAAAAAATAAATTAAATTAAATGAAAACCATAAAAAACGAATTTTCATTACTTGAAATAAAATAAAAACTTTTTACAGCTAGTTGTCAAGGCAATATTTCTCATTTTAAATAAATAATAAATAACTAAAATAGTTAGCTAAAATAACTAAATAAAAAATTCATTAAAACCATATAGAAAATATATATAGAAATACAAAAACTAAAAATGACAAAAAAGACAACAAACTTACTAAAACTTTAAAATTAAAATGGATATGGAAATATATAAACACTGATTCAAAATATTAATAAGTGATATTAAATGATCTCAATGATACTAAAATAACACTGTTAATGAATTACAATAGTTTTACACAATCCAGTGTAGGCTTTAAGTTTAAATTATTTCAGTGAAATTATAATTTGCAACATTAATTTTAGAAGTTTACTGTAAATATGTGTGGAAAAAAAAGCATCATGGCATAATATCAAAATGGTTTATGATTACGTGACACTTACATGTGTCAAATGTAATGTTTCATTTAGACTTAAAAAAAAAACATACCTAACTTTGCTATGTAAATAAAAAATCTATCAATTAATGCTCAATTAATACCAATGCAAATCTAGTTGTCTTTCCATTTACCAGACTGAAGTTTTGAATGTTCATACGTCTAAATAATTTAATGAAATGCCTCACTTTTATTCTGAATTCATAATTTAAACATTACTCAATTCGATGATGGAAATGCGTCATACAACTGAAAAGTGTAAATCCTAAAAACAGACTGAAATATTTGTTTGAGTGAAGGGCATATGTAAAAAAACAACAAAAAAACATGTTAACACGTTTCCCAGACAAAATGTTGTAATGTGTATACTAAGAAAAAAAAAAAGAAAATTGATAAAATCAGATTTGAATCAGAATGGGATATAAAGGTTAATTCATAATAGAAGCTCATTCTTTTATGATTTATTTATGAAAAATCCTAAAAGATGTCACACTTTTATTAATTTTAGAAATCATATTTGCAAAATCTGCACTTAAAACAACACATTTTCTCATATGCGCCTGGTGGTTTACAGACAAACACCTGGTTAAGTTTTTACAAACAGAATAAAATATGTGTATCTGCTCAGGACAGGTGAGAAGTGTGTTTGTTCGGGGTCATTTCTCAGGGGTGTGTTTAAGGTATGGATGACCTTACCGGAGCCGTGTTGCATTCCGTCTCCAGTGGGTCTCCCGTCCGGCCCATATAGGGCTTGTCTGCTCTGGGCAGGACTTTTCATGTTAGGCTAATTTTTCCAACCATATAATAGGTTTCACAAAAAACATGGTATTTGGGCACCAACGTGTACCATATTTGTGGAAGTACAGTGGGGGATACGGCAACCCTTCTGGTATGTCCTGATAGAGCCTCTTAGGAATCCGAGGCCGTCTGAGTCAGGAAGGAATCTCATATCAAAGTCACAGAGTGGAAAAACAGTCTTCCTCACACATTGTAAAACACATGGTGACATGGAAGGGAGGTGTCGTTCCAGTGTTAGGAAGCATTCTGTGGGAATTAGTGGGGAATCTCAAACTCGCCAGGCAAGGGCTGTTTATGCTGTAAATCTGACCAGTGCACTAGAAGCTCCAGCCTCCTCCATCACTCCTCATCCACTCACACCTTTCTCAACATCCCTCCATCACAGTGGACCAGCACTTACCTCTGAGTGTTTACGGTGGTTATATTCACTATCGCGCCATTACAAACTAGTTCAACACAAACTCCAAATGCTTTTTGGTTTGTCAAAATGGTATTTAGTAACCTGTTTGTCTCATCTCGTGTACACTTTCCATGCCTGGATTGGAAAAAGCCTCACATGTCCAAGTTTTTCTGTCCACCTGGCTACATATTCACAGAAGACAAACTCCAGAGATGTTCCACTATCCCTCACTGGCGGGAAAATGCCCACCTGCGAGTGAATCCCAACTGGCAAACATGGTGAATGTGAGCCAACAGATGACAGCATGTTATATTTACACCTCATGATTGACTCACACAGGAGTTTTCCATCTTAGAGGGTTTCCCCGTTGTTCAAATATCTTATTTGTGTAATAATATTTAATCATATAAGTTTTTAGAAACTTATAAACAGATTTAAACTTACCTGTCAGACGTATTTCTAAATCGTCGTCCTCCGCTCATCAGGCGGCGCTGTTGACGCACGTAAACACCTCCAGCGCGACGTGACGTGACGTGAGGTGACGAGGAAACGCAGACGCTGTTTACGCAGACGGCTGTTTGGTCAGTATCTTAACGCACGAAATTACTTTTATTTACTTCATAATGTTCACATGAATCTATGATTATTAGTGGAAATGATACAAAAACTGAGCAGTGTTTGTTGATTCGGTCCTGTTCGACTTGTTTTGGCCAATTTTAGACATATATCGTGTATCAGCTGATCATATTCATGCCATTTGTAGTTAATTTGCTTTTTATTGCAATTTGATCACGTTTTAATTTTTTCCACTGTCAATTTAAGTAACTAGTACTGTTATACGTTATACTGTGGTGCAGAATGATTGCCATATTCATATATTATAACACCATGTCCGAAAAACAAAGCATTACCATCGTATTGTTGTAAGAGTTATGAGTCTAATAATCTGATATATACTTAAGAATACTTATGATATGTAATAATGTGAATTTTTCTCTGTCATGTTTTCCCAGCAGTTCTAATCTTATTGATCCTAAAATCACCTGGAACTGATCTTAAACCAGCAAGATGGTATGAATGTATTATATTATATTATTTAGGCCTATATAGTATTTATTGTTTCCATTTTTAGTTTTTCATTTTTATTAGTTTTGTTTATATATATATATATATATAACTTGAATAAATTTTTATTTCAAGTTTAGTTTTAGTAATTTTAGTGCTTCAGCTTAAATTTATTTATTTCAGTTAGTTTCCAAGGCAACATGCTTAAGTTTTGTGACTTAGGTTTTTTTTTAAATCTAATATTTATATTTTATTTCAATTACAGAAATTTTTAAAAAAGTTTTTAAAGGGGAGGTCTAATGCTATTTCATGCATTTTGAGTTACTTACACGGTTAAAGAGTTGGATTCTCATGCTAAACATGGCCAAAGTAAATGAGTTGGATGTATTATGGAGTATTTCTGTGCCAAATACACTCCTTCAGGGTTCGTATAACTTTCGGAAAGTTTTTTTCGAGTATGGCCTTGCATTAAGTCATAAAGGGCGGAATTCCTTGTATGTTCACTTCTCCCGAAAGAGAGAAGCGGTACAGCTGTATCTGTCTTTTATAAATCTGATAAAACTAAAGACTCTTCGGAGATATGAAGGATGCAATACTACTCTATAGGTACTCAAGATTGACATGAGATTGGCAGAAACTGTGTGTTATGTCCCCTTTAATAGTTTTAGTTGTAGTTAATAATAATAACGCGCTGGTTCTGTTATTACAAAATTATCATGTTAATGTTTGTTCTCTGTTTTAGGGTGAACGTAAAGGAGTAAACAAGTACTACCCTCCTGATTTTGATCCAGCCAAGGTGAGAATGACGAATATTATCTCATTTTTCTGGGTTCTGTTTTGCAAAACTGTGTATATTAGAAACATTCTTCCTGAAATGTATATCTCATGCTCTCATAACAGCATGGTTCTATCAATGGCTACTGGAAAACGCACCCGCTGCGGGAGCGGGCCAGGAAACTGTCTCAGGGCATCCTCATCATCCGGTAATACACAATCATTTAGTGTGTTGTGAATTCTGTCACTGTTTTTTGATTCACATGTGCTGACAGTCTGTGTTTTGTGTTTTTAGATTTGAGATGCCGTATAATATTTGGTGTGATGGCTGTAAGAATCATATCGGCATGGGTATGACTTTGAAGTTGTGCATAATACTGTACTACTCATACTATTTCTGCAGTGTGTAGCATGTAAAATGTACATAGTTTGTCAGTTGTATTCATGTGTATATATTTAGTTATTCTGTCTTTACAGGGGTTCGATACAACGCGGAGAAGAAAAAAGTGGGCAATTACTACACAACTCCAATATACAGGTGATGTAGCATCCTGATCTCCTACAGTTCAGTTTCATGATCAGTTCGTATATTGCAAGGCAGCATATCTTAACCTGTAGGTTTGTGTTCCACAGGTTCAGGATGAAGTGCCATCTGTGTGTGAACTACATAGAGATGCAGACAGACCCGGCCACCTGTGATTATGTCATCGTGAGTGGAGCCCAAAGGAAGGAAGAAAGATGGGACATGGCTGAGAACGAGCAGATACTCACTACTGGTGCGAAAACTCATGTTTTATGCCTATCTGTCTGTCTATCTATTTATAAGTTCATCTATCTGTCTCTCTATCCGTCCGTCTGTCTGTCCATCATCAAAATTTTCTGTCATCAGTATTCATTTTGATATTTTCAATATTCTTTCAAATGTTTTAGTATGCATAATATGAAGTAAAAGACATTTAAATCATTAATTGCTGTTAATGGATGAAAGTCATCAAGAAATTAAGGCTCATTATGCTGTTTTCTTCTACAGAGCACAGTGAGAAAGAGAAACTGGAGACGGACGCCATGTTTAAATTAGATCACGGAGGAAAGGATAAAGAAAAGTTACGTGCCGCCATCCCTTCTCTCAATGAGCTTCAAGAGCAGCAGTCCGGGTGGAAAGACGACTTTCAGCTTAACAGCGCCCTCCGCAGGAAGTTCAGGGTGAGTTACTTGTTGCCCACTGCAGCGGATTTGCATCTGTAATGAAATGTTTGCGTTTTAATCTATTTGTGGTTTGCAAATACAGTCTGAGAAGAAAGTGATTGCTGAGGAGGAGGAGAAAGACAATGCAGTGCGAATGAGGACTGGTCTGTCAATCCCCTTGTTACCGGAAAGAGAAGAAGATAAGAAACTGGCATCACTGCTCACCTTCCAGAGTCCTGACTGTGAGTTTGACCCATCCGTTTAATTTTTTAAGTTATTGATTGATGAATTAATCTTCACCCCTTTTAAGTAAAAAAAAAAAGTGTTTATTTTGAATTTATTTTTAAATTGTATTATTTTATTCAATTATATAAATATATATTTTGAATTTATTTTACTATGGTTATACTTTTTTTTACTATTTTTATACATCTATTATTGCTTATAATTGAGGATCCGAGGATCCGGATAAATCTTTTTCTCTTTCAGCATATGATGACAGACAGCAGTGGAAAAGGCTACAGATATCTTCTCGTTCCTGGTTCATTAGCCCATCTTCAGCAGCAGGGGGAGCCGCTGGGAGCCTCTTGCAAAAGTTAGGCCAGCAGGGTCGAGGAGCAGCCGTGGCTAAAGCACTCAGCTCTAAGACACCCAGTTCGCACATCCTGGTACGCAGGAAGTCAGAAAGCAGCAAGACTGAAACCTCCGGCATTATGACCTCCAGCTCGTCCCCTGCTGCTAACTCAGCAGCTGTAGACACAAACCCCACGGACTCACTTTCTCCTCTCACAAATAACATGAATTCAAGCAAAGACACAAACACTCACAGCTGCACTTCAGAGACACATAAAGGAAGCCCCTCAGAGGAGGACAAAGGCTTTGACTTGTGTGCTGGAAAGTCTCTGGTTGCAGATTACAGTGACTCTGACTCGGGCAGTGAGGTCTGATTTAGACCAGAAGTTGAAATTACATAGCTGTAAATCCTACAGTATCAACATGTATATTAAACAATTAGTCATTATTTACCAAAAAATAAACTCTTCCATATTGAAGAGTGTGTCAGGGTTTTCTTTTTCAACTTTCAAGCTTTGCGCATTGAGCTTGTTGTTTTACTCCCTGCAAATGCAGTCATAAACCCCGGGACAAAAGGTGTTAGAGTTGGAGCCCAAAATCACATACCAAGTAGGTACTAATTTTGAGGAGAAACAAACGTTTTATGTAGAATATGTAGTATGAAAGAAATACAGACATACCAGGGTGGCCGCGGGTCCTTAAAAAGTCTTAAAATGTCTTAAATTCAGATTCATACTACATCCACCATATTATCATGTGACTTTTTCCATCAGTTGTGTCGCTTTACTGCCATTCACATTTCCTCTCTATTGGACTCATGGATCCATCAAATGTACACTCCAGAATCTCTGCGGAAACAGTAGTACTTTTCACCTACTGTTTCATGAATATGTATTCGAACATACTACTCTTCACATACTGTTTTTCGCAAGTACATAGTATGCTTATAAGCACACTGGACGTACATTTGCATGACAATGTAACAATAATGAAAATGTTTTTCCTTTGCGTTTTTGAAAAGTTTTGCGAAGGATGACAACATTGTCAAAACAATCCCCATTCACACAGATCTGTGAAAACAATTAAAATGCTGTATTATGCATGTCAGGCCAGTAGTTGACGATGCCACTTCGTAATGAAACACTTGTCCGCGCACAAATGCATTCTTCAAGTATGTACTCGCACATGCCTACTGCCTGAACAAGTATGCAGTTGTGCTTGAAGTGCACAAATTGGGGTTTTTGTAGTTTACACAGAGACGATAACGGTATCGTTTTCAAAACTTGCACTTTGAAACCCATTTTTTCAAAAGTTGGCGTTTTCAAGCCCTCAAAAAACCACAGCCAAAATGCACAAGTTTCCGTTTTTAGTTGAAAACGATGTCTATAAACCAGTTCTGAAAATTCTAAGTTGTGAAATTATGTGATGTAGGACCTTTATACAGTGCCAATGTAAAACTATAGTCTATCTCTGGTTTTCATCTGCATTAAATTAATGGCATCTAACCTGTGCGTCCCAAATTGCGTACTTGCACTATTCTATGATGCTTTGTAATATAAATAATGCAAGTAGTGCGTTCACACTGAAAATTCCAAAAAGAAAAAGTGCACTTTAAAACCCTGATGATGCACTTAAATAATCGAA